GCTGGAAGTCCTTGTGGTAGAGGTGGTGGTGGGGCTTGGGGAGGTGGAGGTAAAGGTCTTGGAGGAACACCTGGTGCTGCTGTGCCATTTGCTGCAGGAGCAGATGGGGGTTTGCCAATCTCTGGTGGCTTTGTCTTGAAATATACCTGCAGCTGTATGATGATGCATCACAAATAATCTGAGTTAGATGTCATTCACAAAAGTTTCATTAAGAGAACAAAATTTGTCTGATTGATTCAGCTTCTTGGTATATCTGGTCCCTTAAAAAATGTTTTATTGCATAGAAGAAAAGCAGACACAACTATAGTATTTCTCCTTTTTCTGATGGCCCCGAAGGGGCTTGTAACCCTTGAACCCCCACTCTCATTACCAACATAACCAACTCACTTGAGGTGAGTTGGTTTATAGTATTTATCTTGTTATTATGCTCAAGAAGTAGTACATTATTCTTGTACAGATGCTTAAAGAAGAATGAGAAAACAAAGAACGATACGAGAAAACAAACTGCAAAAAATGCCATATTATTCCCTTACAAATCATATGGGAAATATTCACATTCCCTTTGACATTTGCCAAATACTGAAGCTTATGTAGGTTCTCAGTTCAACAACTTGCAACAAGCTCAATGAATAAAGACTTAAACAACAACTAAATCCGACAATGATGAGCTTAACTCAATGTCAACTTTCTGTTGAACAACAACAATTAACTTCAGTAACAACTTGTCATAAAATTCAACCTTCAGGCTTCAATAAATGTCAGTAAAATAACAACTGAACAGAATCACAAAAAACTTGTCTCCGGCAACTGACCACAGTAACAAAAGGAAGTCCTAATGATCTCGATATATAGGAATAAATCTCAATTGAATCCATAACAAGTGAAAAATTAATCACTAACTTGAAGACATCACAAAAATCATCAAAATCAGCTAACCAACTACATAGCTAATTACAATCTTTTCCCCCCTTCCTAGCAAGGTAAGTAACCTTTAATTCCCCTGAGTAACAAGATCTTAAAAGTTCACAGTTTTTTCAGAAGTAGCTCGCACTACCAGAGCAACATGCTCTAAGGGTTCACATTTTTTTTGTGGGTCCTCACTATCCTGGGCAACAAGCTCTAAATATTGGCCTTGTAGAACAACTATATCTGACAACCACTTTGTTAAGATCCACATGATAAATCAAGGAGTTAAAGTACACAAACTAATGTAGTTTGGGGCCCTAACACCTTCCACAAAAATATATCCACTGTATTCCAGTGATCAATAAGTACAATAAGAAATATGCTCTTCCAACTCAATAGCCCGATCAATTCCTTAGTTACACTGTATCTCTCCCTGGCCTGCTCCCTCTTGACAAAAGGATACTTCAAACCCTTGAATCAAAACTAAAAAGTCTCTACAACTGAATGATATTTATAGAGGACCTGTACTTATCCACTAAATCAACCATACTTAGAAACCACAAATACTAAACCATAGAGGAAATTTGACAATCTCCGACAATCTCTCATTCAAATAAAATTCTGGAAGAGGATGAATAACAACAATCTCTCCTTGTCCTTTAGAAATATTGGCAAATGGTGACACTCTCCTCTTAGTAGCAACCATGGCTCTAGAAGAAATAAAATGAAATATTATATAATTCTTTTTTGGAATATGTAATATTACTGTAATGTTGTTTTTGTTATTATAATGAAGAAATAGAATATGATAGTGAACACAACACCTAACTTATCTTATTTATAAAATATATCAAACAAGTATATTGAATCAGTTAAAACTGATAAAAAAACACTTACAAGTCAAACCAACTTCAATTCAAGTGGTTCATTCATATGATGAAATTTGATCATTTTGTCATTTTCCGCTGTTTTTATTTAATGTACAATGATGAAATTGAACGCTAATATATTTTCTGTAGTCAATAATTATAAATAATATAATTTCAATAATATCATGTAACTTCTTTGTATATGATTTTCTATAAAGATATTTTGAACCAGTGGTTTGACTAAGGAACAACTGGTCAGACTAGTCAACTAATAAATAACTTAGTTGACTCGGTGACCAATCCAGTTTTAATAACTCGAATCATAAAAATGCCTATGATAACAGTAGAAAACAGAGAACATGAACTTAACAATACAGGAAACTGACAGGAAATATTATTATTCTCCAAGAGACCGTATGGGAAATATTATTATTCTCCAAGAGACCGTATGGGAAATATTCTCATTCTCTAAGATGTAGAAGAACACAAAGACAAGTGGCACAAAAAAGAGAAGGAATGTGAAGTACAAATTCAACCTAAGATCAAACTACAAAATAAACAAAAAAGAAGTTAAAAGAACAAACTAGAGTAGATGCCCGTGCACAGGAGAAAAAAATCAGTGAAGTAACAATCCAAAAGACTACCGTGAACATTTTGGAATCTGGATCCCAATGTGAGAAGAACTTGGGAGTGGATTTATCTATCTCTGTGCTTGGAACCTGAAAGAAAAGTGTGCACAAAATTAAATATTACTGAATTTCCAAACAGCAAAGTAAATAAATAGCATGTGTAATATCATTGAATTGTGTGTGAGTGGATGCAATGCTGAAATTATGGGGGAGCTTTCTTTGCCCTTCTTCCTTGATCAGCATTTCAAACTAAAATTTCACATAAAAAAGCAACAGGTAGGATTACGAAGGACCCTGCATTTGAACAATTAAAATCTATTGTTCTCCACAAACAAAGACAAAATCAACTACCTTGAAAGCAATAATCTCATACGGTTCTGCTGCAAACAGAAGATACTGGTATCTCTTGTCATACGGTTGGACTTTCTGCATTCATTAAAAAACAAGAGGGAGAGATATCATGGCATCATATCGAGCAAAATAGTGTGGTGGTCAAATTATCAGCTTAACAAGCATTGCAACAAGGGGATCATAGATCAGTAAAAAGTATGAGAAACTATTGGGACATCATAATATAAAATCTCACCTGCTCATAAGATGACATAACACGGTGTCTTGGCCTAGTATTGTCTTCTATCTCAGGATATTCAATCTGTGGTAAAAGAAAAATTATAACTACCAATAAAGCAATAGGTGAGTTTTGTACTTCTCATCTTCCAAATTCTCACAACCATCTTTGGTACTGTGGCTATTTGCTCTGAGTATGTGAAAGGTTATAATTTGGCAAAAATGTGTTAAACACATACCTGGAAGAGAAGTGACCTCTGCTTTGTCTCGGGATCATACTGCTTTGTTACACGGTACCCAGGCCTGCCAATTTTTACTGTAGAAAAACATATAATTCATTTGGTTTCAGGCCACAAAATAACATTATAGACATACCAACTTTAGAGGGCATACCAGCAATTTTGCGCAGATTCTTAGTCTCGACAAATTACATATGACAGCCATTAGTCCATAAATTAAGAAAAAAATCATTGAAGTCATCCACGTACTACTCTACTTGCAGATTTAGTTTTCTAGTTTTGAAGGATAGAGAGTTTAGTAAACAAAAAAAAATGCAAAAGATTTTTCTTTACAGAAAAAATAAGTCTTCTGTTTTCACTACCTTTTCCTCGCTTTACCGAGTGTGATTTTTCTTTGAAACAAATGTCAAAAATGAATTCATTGCTTAGGATATTTCAAAGATCTTATTGATAATTAGGCAGCGCTATCCCCTTTTTCCTCATAATATTTCCTCTTTTTCCTTTAAAAAGCGACAATGAAACAATTATTATGCATTTCGAAGTAATTCCACGCTTTAACTAACATTTTCCGAACAATATTTTTATTTTCAACAACTACATATGTTTTTGTGGATAGACATTTATGAATTTCGAAAATAAAAACTCAAAAATAGTGTTCAACTAAACAGAGCCTTTATTTCTTGACAGACCCCAAAGGAAATGCAACGTTAGCCTTTTCTTGTTCAATTGATAATAAGAGCGACTCCC